ATTTTCCGGGACAATAACATTACGAAGAGAGCAAAGCAGATGATCCCTGAACGCGTTCACTTCCAGCGTGCAAAGGAAGCCTTTTTCTAAGTAAAGTGGTTTCGGCAATGGATAAAATGCTTGCTGCCAACAACTTTTGCTCTCCGGGCTTGTATTTAAAATTGGCGCACCGGGAAATAGCTCGCAGCTGAAAAAAAATATGCATTTGATTTTTATCCGTTTTTGCTTATATGCAAATGCAAAAAGCACATGAATTTGCTTACGGCGCATGCCTTATCAATTCTTAACAGCAAACGTCAGGCGGATGGAACTGCGCAAAACGCATAATCGCCTCGGCTATGGTGGTGCGCGCCGCTATTTATTTTCTTCTTGCTTCCTTTTCAACTTCCAAATAATGTCCAACGATGCCAGCCGGTTTTTCGGGAGTCGCTCAGCAATGCGAAATCCGGTCCAAAAACAAAATTACTATCCTCAGTCCCTTGCACTGCGCATGCTAGTAATATCTTTCGTCGAAGATACCTACCCAAGCAAGCTTGCACTTCTTCCAACTCTATTGCATTTTGGGTATGAAGACAGACTGAATAACGCATGTGGAATTAGAAACAACTAACCGAAACCAGGCCATGATAGAATGTGCGGTACCACTGCAAGTGATGGGCGCCGTATGAAGATCCACCACAACATGCTCGTTGAGTTTTTCCAATTGTGAACGAGCCGCAAATGAAATGTTAAAAATTTCGACTACTTCACTCAAAATTTTGTAACCACCGCGAATTTCGTTCGCTGCACAACACCAGTACGGTTCCAGATCCATCGATATATCTTTGGCATCTGGATGAAAAGCAGTCAAAAAATCCTCATAATATCATAGAAATTTTAAATTCCATTGAACTTATAAATTTTTAATACTATATAAATTTTAAATTCCGTGAATAAAAGCTTTAGGGCGGGAAATAGAACCAATATGCTTTATAAAAAAAAGGTACGGAATCCGGAGTGATGATAGGCGCGAAGCCTCAAAAAAAATCAACTGCTTGCCTATCCGGCTAAAACAGTTGCCGAGCTACAACATCTGGATCCGTTGTCCACTTCACACGCTCGTAATCATTTTAAAGAACAGATTTTCCCCTCAGCTATCGCTCGCTGGTGCACATCTACCAATCCCCTGATGTCAGTAATAAAGTGTAAACCAAAAAATATACTGTATGGTGATACGACGGAATCCGAAACGAAGCGCTGCCCACCAAAAATTGCAATATTTTCATCTGTTACAGCAGGACA